TCAGTATTATCTTTACATGATGTAATGAACCTAAGTTTTGTCCATTTGTGTGTTTTGAAGAATTTGAGATGATTATTAGTCCTATTTTATTCAAAACTGATAAATAATATTGTAATTTTTTTTTAAAAAAAATTATTGATGGACCTTGGATTTTTATATTATGCCATTTTCTCTCAGACGCACGTTTGTTAACTGTATTTTTCATTCTTTAAGAAGTTAAAATCTGCAGTTTCATTACTAAAAAAAATGTTATATATAGCACTTTTTATATAATGATTATTAAAAAAATTGCTGTATAGTTGAGGTAAGATTCAGAAAAAGGGGCTATACAGTAGTTATTTAAAAAGAATTGTTATATAATCTCTCTCTCTATTTTTTTTATACAGCAGTTATTTAGAAAGAACCATTGTATAGTGTGTTTCTTTTAAAAAAATTTTCCTTGACATTATACAGTGGGTCTTTTTAAATAACCACTGTATACTCTAGATTATATAGAGATTATTTTGAAAGAATTACTATATACTTTTGAAGTTCTCTTTATATGAACCAAGCAGAGATTCAGCAAAATTTGTGCCACAAAGACCATTGACACACATCCAACCACGCTAAAACCCAAGTGATAAAGCCAAGGAGATGAAACTTCAATGAATGTTGGGTTAATTTAAAAATATTGAACCCAGATATCAAAGTAGAAACCATAATGAATCAAACCTAAAAACATAAAAAATTATTACAAGATTAATCTAAAATAGAAAACCCAAAGACAAATTAGAAAACCATAATCTCATAACTATAATACAATACAAACTATGGGTCTCAATAAAAAATCAACATTTTGAATTTGACTAACTCGGATTGTGCTTAAACTCTTCCTTCCCCTCCAAGCCTATATCGCTCTACAAGTAAAAAATCAAGGCTTCAAATTTCATTCCCTTCCTATACTCAAGGCTGTGCTCGGGCTCTTCCATCACGCGAGAATGTTGATGAATTGAAAGGTGTGAGATTTAGGTTTTGGTTAAACCCTCTTATGGGTTTTGTAGAAGAAGATTAGAAAAATGAGGCAAAAGAAAGAATAAAGAAGATGAACTGGTAATGATGATGCGGGCAACTTTCTCGGTGTAACACACCAAAATTTTTTTTTTAAAATAATTTAACTCAACCATAGTTGGGTTACAGCCACCCAACACATTTTTATATCAATAATTTCAATATAAAATATTTTATAATTGGCTTCAACTCACACACTATAACATTTCAGATAAATTTTTACCTCCCACATGCCATTAGGCTAAATCACATTTGTCCATCCTTATACTCCCAACAAGTAAACTAAATCACATTTGTCCATCCTTATACTCCCAACAAGTAAAATAAGCAATTTAGTCAATTTTCAACACAAGCCAGTTATTTGGCCTTATAATCATGCCATTTTAACCAATCCAAAGTAAACCAAATATTAAAATTACAGTCACCCAAATTGTACCAAAAATAGAAATAGTTTGAAAGGTATGATTACATTTATATATTCATATAATTGACAATAAACAAAAAGCCCTAATATTGGCAATATAACACATTATAAATCATAAATTAAATACCCAAAAGAGACAGTGGATCTATACCACTAAGCCTCTGGGACTCCTCCACGTGTCACTCGTGGCTCTTCTCCTGAAAATTGTTAACCACATAATGAGACTCAAAAGTCCCAGTAACCAAAGCCAATTTATGATAGTGTATACAAACAGTTAAGTGTGTGCTTACTAAGTGAGAATTAAAAATAATATAATTCCAACAAGTATAAGAAATGTTACAATACACACAAAACAACCATCCTTATATCCCTCCATTAACCTCGAGCCGTAGCCCTCACTCGGTGCTAAATTACCCGGCCAAAGGTAGATTAGCCCGAGCCCTTACAAGCCACCTATTGAGCTCCAATAGGGGCGTACCACGTGGCACATAAATACAACAATAATAGCAAGTCTCCCAACACCTCCCACAATAATCAAACAAATTCATAATAATATTGCACAATTATACAATATTACAAAATTCATAATTTTCTCAATAATCACCCAATTAACATGAAGTAACACTAATCACAAATTAAAAGCATGGTTACCTTGTGGCTTTTTCAATAAATTATTCCTTAAAATTTCTCTCTCACCACAATCTTCACCAGTAATACAATCTACAAATAACATATTATTTATAAATATTAGTTTCAATTTTTGAAACTAATAAAATAATTCTAATAATAGAATTAAAAATATAACATAATTCCTAATCTCAATCTTAATACAAATCTAGAGTCAATACTATTAAGTAAAATTTTTAACTCCTCTTTTAATTATCAATAAACATTAATAATCTAAAAATCAACTTCTAAACTAATTTTTATTATCAAAATTTTCTTTTTATTTCATAAATTCGTACCTAAAATACCCAAAAATTAAAAATTAAGTCTCTAGCTTAGAATCATAATCCTATAGCAATAATAATTCATTTCTCATCCCAAATAATCATCTAAACCTCAATAAATCAACATATATTTTCAGATCTAGTTTAGAATTTGATCCATAAGCCACAGATTCAAAGATCATCAATAAATTTATACTCTAGAACATTTATTATACTACTGACAACCTCAAAAATCATATTTATTCAACATAAATTCATCCCTCTTCCAGATCTTAAATTTTCTACCACTACAAACTCAGAAACCAAAGAAAAAGGATGACCAAGAAAAAATTTTAGAACACTTACTTAGTCTTGAAAAGCTTAAAATCACACCCTAAATATCCTATTAAAAACTCTTACCTTAAAAATTTAGATATTTCGCACCGGTGACTCGCGTTCTCTCCGCCTCAGCTCGCGCGCAGGAATGAATGAGGAAATGAAGGAAGGTGAGTTTTTATAAAAATTCAGTGGGTCCCACACATTTTTTTTATTCTTTTCTCTCTCTTCTTTCTTCTTCTTTTCTTTTTTTTATTATTTTATTTTACTATTGTTACTATTGAGGCGGCTGCACGTTTTCTTCCTTCCTTCGTTTTTTTTTTCAAACCTTTTCCTTTTTATTATTATAATAATAATTTAATAATATTTTTTTTATTTTTTTATTTAATTAATAATAATTTTTTTTAAAAAAATTTAATTTAGAATTATATCCTAAGTTAGATTTAATGATTATTTTCTACTAATTTATTTACCTCTAAATATTTTTTATTTTTTTTTAAATTTCTATTAACCCAAATTAACTATTAAAATTTAAATTGGGATGTTACACTCGGCATCGATGAAGGCAAGCTAATCTCATCCTAACTTCGAGCCTTGTCGCTCTTATGGTCCATTGACAAAGTTCCTTATGGCTTTTTATGTAACAGTCCTCACCTCACCCCATTAGGGGTCTTTTGAAGCTTTCCCAGGCTCGACCGAGAGTCTTTTAGACTAGAGCCTTAACTACTCGCACAATTGGCTTAACTTTTCTCAAGGTGGTACATAAGTTATTCCTAATCCCACCAAAAAGTGACTCAATGGTATCAGGGTTGGCCACAACTTCACTAAGGTAGGAGAGGTTGGGAGCTCAATTCCAGAGAAGGTTTTAAAAAGACTTCTTTAGTAGGATGAGTAATAACCCATGTACTACCATAAGGAAGTGACACAAGCTCAACAGCAATGGAGTGGGCCATGCCAGAGCTGGTGATGAATCAAATGAAAATACAGAAAGCACAGGAAGATGTAAGACGGGTGGTAGAGACCATGTCAAAGGTAGAAGGGCAAGACATCAATCAAATGAATTACTTGAAATGTGTGGTCATAGAAGTTCTAAGATTGCATATGCCAACTGCTCTCATTCCTTCTAGATTATCAAGATCAAGGTTAGACGTGAGAGGCTACATTGTTCTGGCTAAAACGATAGCGTACATCAATGCGCGGGCAATTCAAAGAGACGTAAATTTCTGGGAAAAACCAGAAGAGTTCATTCCTGAGAGATTTGAGAAGAATGATGTGGAATTCAAAGGACAAGACTTCAATTTCATACCATTTGGTTCAGGAAAAAGAGGTTGTCTGTGAATGATGTTTGGTGTTGCTACTATGGAATCCATGCTCGTTGATCTCTTATATTGGTTTGACTGGAAGCTTCCTGTTGTAAATGGTGTCACTGTTCAACACATAGACATGGAGGAGACATTGGGGCTAACTGTCAGCAAAAAGATTCCACTGTATCTCAAACCAAGTCCATACTCAAAAAGTTCAGAACTCACTAGATATATCGTATAGTTAAAGCATGACAGATGCTCTATTTGATTAGTTTGTTTTTACATTTTATTTTCTATATTGGTATTATTGTTGAATAAATGTTGTAGATTGATTGGTGGGTGAGATCAGTACGTGGTTGAATTGGGTAAGTGCATCATTCTCAGATTGATTAATTATAAAATTAAAATAGGATAATAGATAGGATTGGCGCTTGGTGGCGTGAAGAAAGAGTGACTTGAATTCCCATAATATATTACTATTATTGATTCAGGTTATAGACAATAATTTTAGTATAAAATTTAGTGGCGAAAGATGACAAGTCCATCCCACCTTTATAGAACTATTTAGGTGCGTTTATCCTTATGCATGTTGCTGTTAGCTCGGTTTTATGTCGGGATGAATTTTTCTTGACTCAAAATAAAATAGGATGATATTTTGTGAGACAAAATACATTCGTGGTGAGATGGGATATGGATTGCTATATGAATGTCCTGTCTCATCCCAAATATATTGTTATATTTTTTGTTTTCTTTTATAAGCATTTAAGAATTATTTATTCAGTTAAAGTTACAGAGAGAGAGTGTGTGTGTATTTAATTTATCTATTTTATTTTTCATATAACCATTAGCTCACTTAAGTTATTTAACCAAATGATGCTGTTTTTATAGTACTTTGTAGCCTGGAGTTCGTTTGTGTTGTGATTATATTCTTTTTTTGATAGAAGAAAAGCACAAAAGGAACTAGGCCCTTAAATCAGCAGCTAACAACTCATAAATACACTTAGGTAGATCTATGAAGGATATAGGTCCATCAGCGAGATCAAGGGCTTCTTTGGCAAGCTTGTTAGCAACAGTATTAGCATCATGACCACACCATAGTAGATTCACCCTCTGCATCATACATTAAATCTCAAATATAAGATTTTGATCTAGGTGATGAATCATGATTCCCTCCTTGAGTACCATAATCACCTCCACGCAATCCGTCTTAAAATCAATCTCCCTCCATTGTAAGTCCCAAGCTCTCTTAAGAGCCCATATCACCCCCTACAGTTCCGCATCTAGATTGCTCGCCTGACTGATATGATACAAAAAGCCTCCCATTGTCTTTCCAGCGTGGTCTCTCACTATACCTCCACACCCAGCCACTACACCATCTCTCCCACATGCCCTATCAATATTAATCTTGATAGTTCCTATCTTTAAAGCTCTCCATTTTCCTTGGCTTCTCACCCTCCCTTCGTCTATAAGATTTAGACTAGACCACCTCACCATTGCAACTTGAGCAAGAGTTGCATGCACACTAGTAGCTTTTTTTTGAAAGATTTTGACATTTCTGTTAATCCATAACTGTCTACATAACATGGCGAACCAAACATGCCACTTAACTCCCTTGACTACATGTCATTGAGAAAATTCTAATCTAACCAATCAACATGGTCATTAAATTCATAAAATGTCACCTATTTATTAGGATGCACCAATTGCTCCTAATATGACATTGCTATTGGACAATCTCACAAGACATGTACTATGTTCTCGTAGTTGTGAGGACATAAGGAATAGGACGTATTGCACAAAATACCTCTAGATTCATCAAAAGAATTAGTCATAAGCCTTCCTCTAGCACAAAGCCACAGAAAAGTTTTATTACACTGGGGTACAAGACTCTTCCACATCTTACTCTATAAATGTTTTCATAACTCATCAGTGCTATTGCAAAGCCTGCTATAAGCCAACTTTGTTGTGAACTCTTTGTTATTCGACCACCTTTATTTGGGTATATCCTCATCCCCAGAGCTTGAGATCTTGTTTAAAACATCAATTATATTTCTAGGCAAATACTTGGTGAATTTAGCCATTATCTATCTACCAGATGGTGTCAAATACTTGTCTACTATGTCGTTACTAATTTCCTCCGAAACACTCTTTACCACATACTATAACAGTGGTTCATGATGAGGGAGCCAACAGTCACGCTAAAACCTCACCATAGAGCCATTACCTACCTACCATACTGCATTAGATGTAACCTCATTCCATATTTCCTTAATTCCCCTCCAAGTACTAGATTTGCATTTTTGAATCTCCACCTTAGGAATTATGTCATTACCACATTTGTACTTTTCATGCATAAGCTTCACCCATAGTACATCCTACTAATGAATTAATCCCTAGCCAAGTTTCATCATAAATGCCTTGTTTTGACGGCTAGCCATTTACAGCCCCAGTCCTCCATTCTCTTTCTTTTGGCATACATTACCCCAAGATACTAGGTGTATCTTCTAGTGTGACTCCGTATTACCCCATATGAACTTCTTGCATTTCTTATCAATCTCCTCACATATGTGTTTTGGTAATGGAGTAGATTGCATTGTATACACTAGTAATGCTGCCACCACAAAAGAAGCCAGTGTGTGCCTAGCAGCCATAGATAAAGTATTCACCTTCCATAAGGATAATTTGCTATCTATCTTATTCAAAATGTGTTGATACGTATGTTTTGACACTCTTTTATGATGTAAAGGTGTCCCCAAATACTTCCCAAGGTCATTTGGAATTGTAAACTCTAAGAAGCTTTTTATGAGTTCTTTGGACACTGAGAGAAAAAGATTCTAGACTTAACATTATTAACTTTCTCTTCCAAATTGCCACAAAAGTCGTCTAGACAAGCCTTTAACAAGCCTACTTACACCATACTAGCCTCAGCAAAAAGTAATAAACTATCAACAAAGAAGAGATGATATATCGCTAATCCATTCCTTTTTAATTTAAATGGAAACCAATTCCCTAGATCAACTTCATTATGTATCATGTGCCCTAGTTTCTCTATAACTAAAACAAAAAGATATAGTAAAAGAGGATCACCTTGTCTCACCCCCTGGACGGAGTAAATGTATCACCTTTCTCACTATTCCACATGATCTGCATAGTAGCCGTCGATAAACACTTGTACACCAGATTAATAAAGATCAAAGGAATGTTGAGTTCTTCAAAACACTTAGTCACAAACTCCCCCTGACTCTATCATAAGCCTTCTCAAGATCAATCTTCAATTCCATAAACCCCCTTCTCCCATTTCACTTGCGGAAGGAATGGATAATCTCTTGTGCAATAATAATATTATTAGTGCTTTGTCTACTAGGAACAAAGCTGCACTGATTAGGCACTACAATTTTAGGCATGAGACATTTAAGTCTAGTTACAAGCACTTTCGTGATTACTTTGTATACTACATTGCAAAGACTAATAGGTCGAAAATCCTTCAAAGTTTCTGGAACATCCACCTTTAAAATTAAAATGATGTTTTTCACATTGATATGCCTCACCAGTTCAAGATTGTAGAAGTTTTACTAGACTAATAGAATCCCCTACAAGCTCCTACTGACCTTGGAAGAACAAAAGGTTTAACCCATCTGGGCTCGGGGCTTTAAGGGGCCCCATTACAAACACTGTACCTTTAACTTCAAGGCTAGTTATATCATATCTTAACGACTCAATGATGTCCTCCTCTACTGTTGGGAAGCAACTACTAAAAACAATATCATTCGAGGAAGCTAGTTTTGCAGCATATAATTATATATAGAACTCAATCCCTACTTTCTTTAAGATCTCACTATCATAAATCCATTCTCCATCCTTACCTTTTAGAGCTTTTATGCATTTCTGCTTCTTTCAACATTGTGTCACTGTGTGGAAGTATCTCATATTCTTATCCCCCTGAGCATACTAATTACACCTTGACCTTTACAACCATATAATCTCTTCTTACACTAAAATCATTTCTAACTTGATCCAGAGATCAGCATGTTCTTTTTTTAAACTCTCAGTGTTCGTACTCATACTAAGATTCAGATTAATGCCTTTCAATTTGGTCATTAACATTGCTTTCTGCTTGTTAATGTCCCCAAATACATATTTATTCTAACATAAGCTACAGGGAAATACTCAAACCACCTTGCGTTAACAAGTACTCAATCAATTCTGCTATGTGACCTATTATTTCTCCATGTATATTTAGGACCTTAAAGTCCTAAATCAATCACCCTAAATTCATCCACCCATTTCTTGAAATAACGACCAATATGAGATTGAGTAGTTAACAAGGAAATACAATCCTCCTTATGTAATGTGGTATTGAAGTCACCATTAATACACCATGTAAGGATTGTCATAAAGACTGGCGTTGAGCATAATTCGGGTGACCATAAGAAATTGTTAAATCCCATTCCTTCCTTGAACTAATATTAAAGCTTTCACGTAAAACCTATGCATGTTTCTCTTTAACCCAAAAATCCACATTCTCCCCCCAAAAACACCAAATTCCTCTACTGTAACCATTAGCTTCCACACAGTCAAACTAAGTCAATCCCACCCTCTGTGCTAAAGTTTGTTCTCTTTCACTCTCCTTCTTAGGTTTTAAAAGAGCCAAGAAATCAAACTTGTAATGCTCACATAACTCCGATAACAATCTTGGGACTTCCTTTCCTCTAACATCCCACATATTCCAAATAAGAATATTGGTTTTCTTCTGTTCACTATCTATAAGAAACTTTATTTTAGGAGAAGGAGAGTCAAACACACAACTCATGTTAGTCACACTTTTCCTGATCACCTATTACCACATCTCCCTGCACTGAGGACAGTGGGTTCAAATGTATGTGGAATGCCATAGATTGGCATGCACTCAGATCCATGGGGTCATCATCCTTCATCATATCAATTCTCTCGACTTCTATGCAACCTTACTCCTTTAACTTCTCAGATTCATGATCCATGTACACCTCCATCTCCCTTACTTGGTCCAAATCCGTATATGGCAAAACGGACTATGAGTGTATAATATCCTTTGCAGAAAAGTCTAATCTATCCTTAACCTTGCTCAAAATATCTATGCCCATTAAAACTCCTTCATTTGATATTGGTCTGTTCAGAACCTCTTTTAGTGGACCACTAGTATTCCTTTGTTTTGACCCATGTAATTGTTTCCTTCTAGCACCAGAATCTTACACTATGTTTTGACTCAATCTGCACGTATCAAAATTAGTAACCTCCCTCAATGGTAATCTCTTTGCCAATTTAGTCGAGATCTGATCCTCTAAATTAGCCACCTCATTCCCTAGAACTAAAAAGTGAGATTTTCACCCCTTAAAATGCGATCGTTCCTTAAAATCACGTTGAGCTTCATGCACCTAATTTTCTAACCAACTAATGAATTGGAATCTCCATCCTCTCTGAACCACCATCCATGAATCATACCGGACAGTAGAGTCTGTAGTCTCCTCTATGGCATAGTTAGAAATTTATTTATCACTTGTCGTATGGTTATCTTCTTCTACAGGTAGTGATGTTGAGAGCCCTTGTTCTTTGATGTGCTTCTGCCCATCATCTTGACTTTGCTTCTTCTCAAGGTATTGTTTAGCTTCATATCAATATTTGCCGCATGAGAAGCAAATGAGGTGAATTCCCTCATACTGAATCTTCTTCTCCTTTCTATTTATGAAGATCACTAGGCATAGAGCTGAGTTCAGGTCAAGCTCAACGTAGAGATGAGCAAACCACCCTTTCTTTCTCTTCATTGTTGTCATATCAACCTTAAGGACTCGCCCTATCTGGGATCCTAACACATATAGAATACACTTATCATAATTATCTAGAGGGAGCTTAGCAATACATACCCAAGCAGTGATCTTATACAATGCATTTGGTGCCTGAGCTATAAATGCCAATGAATTTACACGTTTTGTACATGCCATTCACATTGAGGAGCTAAATTATGCAAAATTAAATCACAAATTCATGTGGAGGGAGAAAGGTAGTAGATCTAAGAGTTGAAAATTGTATAAACAAATTTAAATGGAGTCAATTTGATCTCAGAAAATGTGTGAGAGAGTGTGAAGAACTACTTTGTGTGTGTAATCTTAGTACTTTGCTTGTAATTTCTCGGTCTTTGTGGTGTTAACAATGGGGAAATTACTTCCTATTTTAGCATTGCGAAGGGTTCTATTATTACTCATAAGGGGGTTTCATGTGAGTATATATGGCTTCTTTCTTTGAGGTTTGATAACTCGACGGTGAATCTAGTTTTGTTCTATTGGCCATAATCTTCTCTATTTATGGCCAAATCGATGAACCTCTACAATTTTCTTTCTCACTGCCACTATTACAACCTTTTCTGTAATCTTTTCTTTATCTGGTTCAAAGTCTTCCTTCCATGGTTGGATAGCCAGATAATGGTCGAACAATAACTAAAGGCCTCCTGTCAATGCCAACTC